GAGTCTAGTAAACATAATGTTCTTCATGTAATTGTAGATTAATGATACCAAAATAAATAAATAAATATAAATAAAAATAAAAATAAAATAATCAAAAAATTTTTTAAAGTTTGTAGTGAAGAACTGAGATGTTCCTATGATTAACTCACAGCAGTGTGATTATGGGTAATTTTTATTTGCTTTTTTACTATTTTTTCCCAGATTTTCTATGATGAACATGTATGATTTGTGTAACAGTTTTAAGTTACTCATTTCAAATGTATATAACACAAGATGTGATTGTGATCAACCACATGAGATTTAGAATATATAATCCTATAGCTTTAACTCCTACGGCTTTAGTCAGATCTGTAACTAAATGTCCTAAGACAGAAAATGCTAAAAGTTTATTCAGCCTCTTTCAGAAGATACATGGTTGACCCTTGAACCAGTGTAGGGGTTAGGGGTGCTGACAACCCCCACACTTGAAAACCCATGTATAAATTCTGACTCCCCAAAAAGTTAACTGGCAATAGCCTACTGCTGACCAGAAGCCTTATCAATAACATAAAAAGTTGATCAACACAAATTTTGTTATGTGTATTGTTTACATTTCTTGACTGTAAATAAGGCCATACAGTATGTGTGTGCCTACACTTTGATAAATTTTAACTTTTTATAGATTTGTACATATTTTATAGTAGTAAATGAAAAATAGACCGTGTCTACATATAGTCTGTATGTTCGTGACATAACATTTTCTTAATTTTTTCAATATTTCTAGGCAACACCGTTCATCTACAAGTTTTTTCGAGCTGTTGCAAATCTCCAAACATTTTCCCGATATAGTTAATAAAAAAGACTGCATATAAGTGGACCAGTGCAGTTCAAAACTATGTTGTTCAAGGGTCAACTGTACACACATTTTAAAACTGCTTTTGCAGATTCACTTACAGAAGAAATTCATAGTGTTCCAAGCACTGGGCAGCTGTTCTTCCAATGATTGGAGCAATCGTCCTCCACTGAGTTGGCATCAACTTGGCCAGGTGCAAGAGTTTTTCCTCTTCTTCTCTGGACCATTCTGTTTTCTTAATGCTTGGATCCAGCCACTCATACCTATTAGAAAGATACCACTGTGTGCATTAATCAGTCACCTAACATGAATATCCTATTTATATATTAGATATACTGACTTCTAGTGTCTGAAAAATGCAAGCTCTCATCCTTCAATTACAAAAGCTCTTCTTCCTTTACAACAGAATATTCACTGTTGGTTACCTTACCCCATTCAATACTCCCTATCTCACCTAATTCCGGATTTCAATTATGCAATGTTAGTAATGCTTAAAAGAGGTAACTTGACAGACCTGGTCACATTCCTTCTTAACTATCAATTCTTATCAGTTTATACTTTATTAAAGGTTTTGAAATTATTTGCAAATAAGACAATACCACCTATTTTTATCGTGTTTCTAGTTTTCATAGCACTTTCTCATACTTTGAGTTGATTCTCTTAACACCTTGCCCTATTTCTTTAAGCATTTGACTTATACTCACTAAATGCTTTTCAACATTGTATGCTTTTGTTTGGGTATTTTTTTTTTATTTAAGTAAAACTACTATGTCATCCTCTGTCTTCCTAATGCCCTTCGCAACCCACATTTTTCATCCAGTCTACTGAGCTGGCTGAGAGGCTGGCAAACAAGATATAAGCCTTACCAAACACTGAGGCAGGAGCTTAACTCCACTAAAAAAAGCAGAAATCAGAACCACTTCTTCAGGCTATGGGACCATCTTCCTCTTTGGAGGTTCAACCTCTACATTCGGGTCCTTTCCCTTACCCAGGTGCCTAGGAAATTAGGTCATTCTTGTACATTCCAAAATATGATCCTAGAACCACATGGGTCAGGGCTGGGGCCAGATCACTCACGCCAAGAAGACACGTAAAGAGCTTACAGTGTCCACTACCCTGTGACTGAAAAGGAGACACTACAGGTGTAGTGTTGGGTTATCATTATATTTTGGGGTAACAAATATGAAATATTTCAACTGTATTAATGAGGAAACTCAACTATCATGAGCTAGCCCAGAAAACCATTATTTATCATTTCTTTGGGAAAGTAAGTTCTAAAACAACCAACTTATACACTTTTGGAACATAATCCATAGGTACAGCTGGGGTCCATCTGTGCCTGAAAGTAAATTTATTTTATGTTTCACAAAGCACTCTCAAACACATTAACTTATTTGAGCCTCGTTATCTCCAACTGTTAAGAGCCAAGCATTATTACCCACAATTGAGAGAAAACAGGCAGGAAAGGGGACAGAAATATGACTTGCCTAGATCACACAGGAAGCACCTGACTGCTATGTTTTAAATCTATATTTCTATCTCAGACTCCCTACTTTCTGTTACAACACAATGACGGCTTTCTTTGGTAAGGTTCAAAGAACTGACATTTTCCTCATCATAAGTGAAATCCTTTTCTGTGTTCCACTCATTAACTGGTACATACCATCTGGCTTTGCACTGCTTTGCTGATTTTCTGTGCAGCAGGGAGGCAATCCTAGACCACTGGTTTTTTCCATATTTCATTACCGCTGCTTTCAGAATTTCATCCTTAAAAAATTGTCAAAGAAAAACAGTATATTCAACCACAAAACTCCAAGTGAGAAAAGACAAAATTTAAATTAACTCTGAAAGGGTTATTATGGAAGAAGAGACATAAACATACAAATGCACACACTTTTTTAAAACAATACAAAATCTTCATTCACTGTAATAATAAACACCAAGCTTGATTCAGCAAAATGCAAGAATTTAAAAAGAAATCCTTAGAAGGAAATCTTATTCTCCCTTACACACAACCCTCCCACTATAAACTGGGAATGGGGACAAGTGTTTCTGAGAAACCCCACTTGACAGAGATTAACAAAAAGTATTCTCCAGTGTGTATCCATCATTCTCTCCAAAATGTTCTTCATATTGATTCATTCAAAAAACATTTCCTGAGCACCTACCTGCCACTAGGTCTTTTGTACTTAGGAAAAAAGAATCAAAGAGGGCACATTCAGCCCTCAAGAAGCAAATCAAGACTCTGGAGACTCCATTCTCCAATCCAGTCCCTCCTCCAGCTTACAGATGGCATTTTCTCTCCAGTCCCACAACTCTCACTCTGACCCCAGAATCCATATCTCAGGTCTAACCTAAGAATAAAGTATTTCTCCCCTACTTCACCAGTCAGCTCTGCTTCCAGCCTCCCCTAGTCTCTAGATCCTATTTCACCCGAGCATCCATTCCAATATGGAATTCACCAATCCCAGCAAGCTAAGCCACAGATACCAGGAATAACAGAGCCACAGATGAATGCACTGGGGCATTTTACTTTTAGAATTTTTTTCCACATTGAACTTGAGCTACATGCTTCATACATGAGCCACTTCACCCTACTCTACCCCCCAATTTTGTACACCTGTCTCTCCCCTAGAAGTCATCTCTTCTCCAATTTAAACAGCCTGGTTCCCTCTGTGCAAGCTGTGAGGCAAGGCTGGCACTGAGTTTATTTGTAACTTTGCTGCAGTACTGCTATACTTAAACACACCTTCAACTAAGTATATATAGCAGCTATCTACCTTCATTCAGCACATTTGCCAAGCAACCTATTTCATGCTGGTTACTGTCCTAGGTTCTAGGGGTACCAAGATCTGGTCCTCTTGCAGTGCTGTTTGCTGGGGAAAAGAAATATCAACTAGTACTTACTGGAAAACTATGTGCCAGACTCTGTTCTAAATGTTCTACATATACTGACTCATTTAATCCTTAAGAGGATTAGATATTGTCATCAGACCGATTAGAAAAAATGACAAAGCAGAGGATCTGAGAGGTTAAGAACCTTCCCTGCATCACACCAAAGGATGGGATGCTTGCAAAAGGACAAAACGAGCTACAACAAATGGATTAAAGAGGTGCCATGGGACCACTGGGGTTGTGACTAATTTTTACAGGGTGAATGGGCATAAATTCCAAAAAGAGTTTCTGAATTGGGTTTTGAAGGATGGCCAGAAAAATGCCACGCAGGGGGAGGATGTTTACAGCACAGTATGTAACAAGACACTGACCACAAAAAGGTAAGATACTGTCTAGAGACAAACTCAGTGCACTCTGAACACATACTGCACTAAAATCTTCTCTATTTTACTCCCTCTCTTACTGCCCTTTCGCTCACCACTGGCACTCTCCACTACATTTCCGGTAGCGAAGAGACTACGGTAGGCAGTTTGTCCTATCTGGCGTCTATCCAGGCTGTGATGGACTGATAGAGACAGACCTTAGGATCTGTCTGGAGAACAGCCAGTTTACGCTTTGATAATAGTTAACAAGAGGGATGCTTTTTCAACCCTGCACTCAAGCTGCTTCCTTTCTGCAAGGAAGTATATGAAGAAACGAAGTTAGGGCCCTAGTACTACTTTATTTTTGAGTATCAGCGAGAGGCACGGTGCTCTGAGAGACGGGGTTGCCAGAGAAGGCCAACTCCTGTTGATGTCCTATCTCCGCTCCACACTGTGAGTTCATCTAGGACGGGGGTGGAAATGGGAGGCGAGGGGAGGAGTTGTGGGGGCGTCTTCATTTCAACAAATATTTACTTGAGGGTCTAAGAAGTGCCTGACAGGTAGGTGGTTAAATCACGGTCCCTGTCCTTGGGGTGCTCAGAAAACGCAGGGCTGGGCACAAAGTGAAGGCCGCGAGGGTGGGCCTCGCGCTGTCCCCCACACAGACCCCACGGGGCAGCCGCCAAGCCTCCCCGACCTCCGCGCGCGTGCGCAAAAGCTACTGGAGGGGGCGGAGGGCAGCGGCCGGCGGGAAAAGGGCACTCACCTCTGTATTCCTCCACACGCCCCCCTTGATCATAATTCGAGGCATCTTGAAAGCGTAGTGTCTCGGCAAGCGGCCGAGAGCTTCCGAGAAGTAGTAACAGCAATGCGAAAACGGGACCCAATGCCGCCACTTCCTCCAAGCGCGACCTTCTGCTTTGAAGAGATCTGCGCAGGCGCAGGATGGTGGGGGGGGGGGCGTAGAGCAAAGTAGCGAATCTCGCGAGAACTCGGGTGGCTGAGAGGAAGTTCCTTGTTGTCAAAGCTCTAGTCTAGAAAGCCTGACAGAAAACCATCAGACCACTCTGGCCAAAGTGCCGTTCGCCACGTGCAAGTACAAAACAGCTTGGAGGCTAACATACCATGGCTCTGGCGAGATATCGACGATGGCTCTTGACAGGGAGCGTAGCTGTGGGACTGGTAATGACGTCACCTAGTGGCAGAGGGGGCTTTCACGCATGTGGAGTTTCAGCCCAGGTGGTCTCACACGGGTTTTGTTAATTTATTGGTTTAGCACTTTATTGGACATTCAACCAAAAGGAATTTATTCACAGAATACTCAGGCAAAAGCAATAGCCTATTTAAGCTTAAATTTCCTAACCTGTAAAATAGTGATAATAGTACCAACTTCATTGTGTTGCCCCAAGGATTAAATAAGATCATAAGCCTAGCAGAGTATCTGATACATAATAACTACTCCAAAAAGTGGTAGCTGTTATTACAAGAAGGGCAACCCCAGGTGATAAGTGATTGCCCCAGAAACCCGCAGAAATGTCATGTCAAAGTCTTTAACTCATCACTATTCAGTCTATGTGGATTCATAATAGTTAGGGTTGATGACACCAGTATTAGACAAACTCGGGTTGGGTTGTCTCTCTCATCAGCTTCGGTAATAACCTTCCTGAATTTCATATCCTCATCTGAAAACTGGCATTAACAATACCTACCTCATCATTTTGGGGGCAACCTAACTGAGACATACCTAAACCCAGTGAGGTAGGGTGTCAAATGCCATTCCACCTTCCAATTACTCAGTCTCCTTCACTGTTTAAAAATGTCTCTTTGGCACCAGACCTGGAAGATAAAATATTTAGTGGACTGGTAAACACCCTGAATATTTATATAATGCCTTTTATATATCTGCATTTCTCCATTTGCCTGTTCTAAAAGAGCTACAGAATTTTCTGATTAAATTTTTGTTAATTTCTTTCTTTTCCTTTTAGCCTTGTAATGGGAAATTGTATCAATAAAATCACCATTTCGTTGAGAGGAGGCAGTATTGGGTTCTGAAGAACATACAGACTTAGGTGTAAGAAATCTTGGGCCAGTCCTGTCTCTACTTTGAACTGTATGTGTGACTGGTGACAAGCCATTTTCTGTCTCTGGACCTCTGCAATGCTTTCTGTAGGATGTGTGACCATTACCTCCTGCTCATTCCACCCCTGACATCTACTCAGTCATGTGCTTACAATGTCTGTCTCTCTTTCTCTCTCTCTCTCCCAATCTGTCACACACACACATAGACATCCACAGACCATTTGATTGATATGATCAAAGCTGAGCCAATTAAGCCTCCTCCCCAGGAATCTTAACAATGAAACCTAGAAGAAGCCAGTCTCTCTGCTGGCCAGTGAATCTCTAAAATGTGACACCCAGGAGGTGTCTGTCACCATGTTTTGTACTATGTAGACTGAGAAGGAAAGAAAGCAGGTCCCAGATGCATTGAGAGGAGCATAAAGGAGAATACAGAGAGGCAGAGGTAGGTCCTGACAATCCCAAAGTCCCTGCATCCACTACGTTCCTCAGTCCTATGTGCATCCCTGTTCTTTGTGCATCCCTGTTCTTGAGTTCTAAGGATTAGTTCTTTTTTTGCTTTTACCCAGTTGGAGTTGGGTTTCTATTATTTATAAGCAAGATTCTAAACAAATTCAGAGTTAGACCAGTCCTCTCTCAAGAGCCTTTCCAAGAGCCTATGATGATGGCTTCTCCTTACCACCCAGGACCACCTTTACCCCGTATGTCACCTTAGTACTAACTAGAAAATGGCATCCCTTCCTCAAAGCACTTTATTGACACCTGCTGGAAATTTGTCACAATATACTGATTTTTTTACAACAGGACACTCATAATAAAAGAAAATTAAATCTACCATATGTACAATGTAAATTGCGTCCCCCAGGGCACATTGTACAACCTGCCTATTCGGACAAGAGCTGCCCCATAAAATGTTCCCCAAGGCACCCTTGAACATGGAGAGTGCGTGTCCCATTTCAGGATACAGAAAATGCAACATCGTGTCAGTTCCAAGCTGTCTAAAAACAGATCCCTATAGCCATGAACATCAGGGGCTGTATGGCATGGCCTGGATTGGCCAGTCTAGTCAACCATATCACCCAAGCCACACCAGCCAGTCCTCAGGGCCCCAGCTAAGAGGCCATCTCCATCCCAGGGGCTGCCAAGGATCTCTGGCAGGGCAGCCATAAGGAGCAGCCACCAATAGACATTCAAACTGTACAGTCACTGTGAACCTTCAGGAAAGTGAGTGGTCATTTCTAAACAGAGGCTTAACAAGAAAGATGCTTCACTTCTTCCTAACCCACCTAAACATGTTCCTCAGAACACTGGTTGCATGAGATACTCCATTAAAAATAAACAGTTTTTTCCTGATTACTTGACTATGAAAAAAGCAGCATGCTCTGTCCACTCCTTTTCACAGTCACCAAAATTAAAACCTGTAAGAAGCTGTAAGATGAAGAAATCTGTTTCTCCCTGTTGTGGGTTGAATTGTGTCTTCCACACAGATATTCAAGTCCTAATCCTACCTGTAAATATGACCTTATTTGGAAATAGTCTTTGTAGATGTAATCAAATTGAAATGAGGTCATATTGGAGTAGAGTGGGCCTTAATCCAATGACTAGAGTCCTTATAAGAAGAGAAGAGCCTGGGCACACAGGGAGGACAGTGTATGAAGGAGGAAGCAGAGATTAGAGTGATACATCTGCAAGCCAAGCAGCACCAAGGATTGCCAGCAACACCAGAAGCTAAGAGAGAGGCATGGAATATACTTTCCCTCTGACACCTCAAGTGGAACCCAACCTTGCTGAAACCTTTGAGGTAGGGCAGAGACATAGGACAAGTATCATGATTAATTTTTCCTGCCTATGTTGAAATGCCAAGTAAGCCATCTTAAGGCTAAGATTCCATTTTAAAAACAGGGAGTTAGAAGGTAAGGTTCCTAACATATTTTATGGTAATCAGCCAAACCTACCCTATCTTAAGGTGGGGCAAGCAGTCCTAAATGATATGTCCCCACTGCTTGAGGGTAATCACAATCTTAGAGAAGAACAGGATCAAGAAACTCCTTGTGTTAAGTGTACCTTACAGAGTATCTAGAGGACTGACTGTGGATGATGACATAATGTCTCTCACAGGAGACAGACATCATGAGACCACTTGTCAAGCCTACATACACCCCTTCACCCTTTGCCCCATTCTAGAAAGCCTTAAAAGACAGAATCCTAAGCCTTTGAGCATGCATCCTCTCTGAGGTTCCCTGCAGTCCCTTTCTTGAGTGCATACTTTTTGCCTTAAATAAAGACTTCTCACTTTTCAACTTTTTGCATTTTGTCTCTGCACTCTTCCAGTAGTAAATACCTTTATTACTTGCCTAGTCCATTCTATTTTCTAGACTTAAGCACAAGTCTTCACTCTGTCCTACTTCAGACAGGTAGGGAAGGGCCACTCTCTGATTTGCACTTGCAAGTTCCTGTCACCTGGATGACCCAGACAGGAATGCAACTGTACAATTGTGCTCTTTAGTAGCCTGCCTAGAAATCTCCTTTCTTTGCTTTGAGAAGTTCTCAGAACATAATCTCACTCCATCCAGTGCTCTGCAGCTCCCCCAAATTCTGGGATGGTAGGGGTTTAGTTCCCACACTGTGCAGATTCAAGTGTACACTGGATGCCATGTGACCCTGGCTTCAGGAGTTGGCAAGGGATTTGCACTATGCTGAGCAGGAGTTTAGTGAGCTGCCCTTTCTTTCCTCCCTCTGTTCTTCCTTGCTCTCTGCTGCTTGCAAGTCAGCTGCCATTCCCTGCTACCCTCGCTTTAATGAGTTCCTTTCTTACCTACATTCATCTGACCTGCTCGAGAATCTTTCTAATTCAGTCAAGACCCGTTCCCCATCCGTGTTGAAATGTCCCCTAGTGCGCAGGAAGAGACCTCCCCATACACAGCTGCCTGACAACACCTTGATTTCAGACTTCCAGTCTCCAGAACTGTGAGAGAACAAATTTCTCTTGTTCAGAGCTACCAGTTTGTGGTGCTTTCTCACAATAACCCTAGGAAAATAATATATGGCCTTTTTAAAGCAGCATTTCCAAGCTAATTTAACCCTGGAAACTTTTTTTCTTAAAAAAATCTATTGATATTCAGGAAACAAAATTTGGGAAAACCTGGTCCAGGGAAGAGATTAGAGTTCCACCCAGTTTACAAGGGGGTAACAGTACATGATAAAGGGTGGGCTTGTAGGTTGCACTGTCCTCCATTTCCCTGCCTTTCATCCCTTTCTGAGGAGCTGCTTCTGACTGGAACAATTTTGATTAGCTGAGAGAACTATCAAAATTCTACTCTCCCTCTTGTCTGTTTTTTTTACCATCAAAAAACCGTTTAGGAAAGGGCTAAAATTAGGATCAAAAGCCTGTGACATCATCAAGGCATGACCAGGAGCTGGGGTTATTCTATAACCTTCTTCATCTCTCTAAATAAACATACGGACTTAAGTAGAAACCTGTGCTAACTGGCAAATACAATTTCAACCGATGTCCTCTAGCCCCATGGGATGGCTACCCTGAAGCCCCTCCCTGTCTTTTAGAAATTCCCCAGCTAGCGCGGGGAAAAGCTATTGTCGGGGTGTCAAGTTACTCCAAATGGAATTCCATTCACCCTACATGCAGGTAATGCCAACCATGGTTAATCATCTAAATTGACTTGGATTTCACCTACTTACACTTCCTGTTGTGGATCCAATTATAGTTTGTAATCTCCTCTCAGGTATTCATCTTCACGGGTATTATTTCTAGGGAGTCTCCTGTGCCCCGAGGTGGGAAAGTGTTACCAAGGAGAATTTGCTTTTTGTCAGGCCCCAGAGGTTCAAGTGTCTTTGTGAGCTCATTTCTCAGTTTGGAACCAATTTTCCAATCAGATCATTTACAGCCACAAGGCACAAGCTTGGGGTTTACATTCCTCACGGGAGACTTCTTTTTTCACATTCATATTCCAGACTCTAAACTCATTTGCCCAACTACCTCCTGGACAGTTCCACTCGTGTGTGTCACAGGTTCTGTAAATTCAACGTCCCAAAATTGAGGTCCCCCCAGAAAACTGTACTTCTCCAGCATACCTTATTTCAGTGAATAGCACAGGGCTGTCATGTATGATTGTGTAAGTGGTTCACTGCACAAGAGACAAATGGGGGCTGAAATCTAGATTGTACACTGTTCACCAGGAGGTACATCCCACCAGACTGTCCACCGAGAAGGCATCTTTCTGTAAGCATGTAAAGACACCACATGAGCTAGATGACACACATTGCCCTGGTAACAGCACCACCATCCACTTTGTTGCCCCTTTTCTGTCTACCATACCTTCCCCACCCATCCCCAAGCCATCTGTCTTGCAGCTTTTTCCTCCTAGCTAGCCCTCAAACCCATCTCCTTTGTACCTCCTCTGATGTCAGTTGCCAGATTTAGCACATGAAAATACAGAATGTCGTTACATTTGAATTTCAGATAAACAACAAAGAACTTAGTATAATTATGCCTTGTACATTCATTCTGTCCTCTTGCTAAGAGAACCCTCATACGAAAGAACACACTTCTAGCCAGATGAGCGTAAACATGCTCACACCACCACCACTGGAACTTACCCCAGCACTCTTGCCATATTTGGTGGAGACCAGCATATTCCCTCAGAAAACAAATCACTGTGATATGTGGCTGCTTATATGACGCAAGGCCGAGCCCCTCCATGCACACCAAGACGTTTGTTTTTCATGTATGTGTTTTCATTTATTTCTTAAGAAGTCCATGTATGGGAGCCTCAGGGTTGGCTTCTCAAGTCAGTAGTGACCACCCCATCCCCCAGGGTGGGCTCGTGCCATAACCACTCCTGGAGCTCCCCAGCACTGGAAGGACACCACACATCTCAAACTGGCTCCCACACACATCCTTTCCTAGAGTCTACTGGGAACTTGCAGACCCCCTAAAAGGTGAACCCTCCCACATCTGGCAAATTTCTCAGTTCTGGGTCAAAGTATCACTCCCTCAGTTAGTGGCATAATTTTGAGAAGCTCCAACTCTAAAAATACTTCAAGTCAAATACTATTAAACAAGGCTTTTACCTAGGTAGGCTTTGAAGCCAAGTGCTGAAAAGCAAAAGGAGACAGTCTAACCAAACTGAATATCTCAATTTAGAAATGTATGCAGTTAGTGGAATTATACAGAATATTCATAAATTATGGAATTGAAAAGCCTAATACCCTAATATCTTAATATTTTGATAACTTAGAGTACAGAGACTATAGAAACAGTCTTGAAATTGTCTGTATGTTTTTAGATTTTAGTGCCACTTGCTGTGTAACATAATTTTCCCTCCATACTACAAAGGCCATTTTTCTTTTTTGCCTGTATCTGATATTAGAATACTATATTTGCAGTGTAAAGTCGTTACTTTAATAATTCACTTGTAAATGTCAAATGCAGGTTGTTTCTATTCAACCTGCAAGCTTCAGTTATTGAAAACAAGAAATGAACACACACACGTTTTTATTTACCAAAGAATCTCAAGTGAAATGAAGGAGATCTTCATGTGTAACAGGTTCAACTTCTTTGCACCTAGAAAGAAGAAAAAGCTGGAATAGCTGTGACACTCGTATGTCTTTCCCATTTGCCTTTTGGCTACACCTTACCTTAACTCTCCCCAAAACACACATGTACGTGCACTATGTCCTGCCCAAAGTTGGCAAATTCTTCACAGGCCAGTTGTGGGAAATGCCATGAAATAAGGCCTAATTTCCAGGGCAATTTTCCAGTGATCCTGAAACTCCAGATGTTCAATCTTGAAATAGTTTTTGAAACCGTATCTATTGTGGTTTAAAGTAGCATCTAGGAATTATGTAGACCACCTGGATAATCCCATCTAGAAATTCTTGCAGAACCTTTCTTTGTGTCTGTATTGTTCTCCATTATCTACCACACAGGTGATCGCAGTTGATTTTTTTTTGTAAGTAATAGAAGCACACACAGATTGTTTATTGCAGATATTAATGTATTCAAGAAAATCTGTTGGCAACCTCATTTTTTCCTTTCCTAATCTATTTGGTTTTATTTTCTTTTCTGGATTTTGCTGGGAACAAGGGCAAGAGAATTAGCACAGAAGTATGCCAGTGTCAGCCAGAGTCAGGCACTGTTGGTGGTCGCCACCACGTTCTCTGCTCGTTAGTCCAAAGGTACACAGAAAGCATGAACATACTATGTTCTAAGCCTGCTACACTCCCTTAGGTTCTGTCTGGAGACAATGTTTTGATGGGGAAGGAAAGTGTGTCTCACATCTTAGGCACTCAGTCTCAGCATGGGCTCCATTCTCTCTTCCCGCTGTAAGGTTTTGGGGAGAACAGACCAGCAGCGCTCATTAGCCAACCAGTGGGACCTCCTCCGTGGAGAAGGCAACTGGCTATGAATATGCTGAGAGGTATTTGGTTTGCCTGTTGAGAGTCACAGCCCAACCTTGTAGGGTTCGCTTTTGTCCCCACCTTTCCTTCCGAATGTTTGCTTCTTGCCTGATGAGACTGGTGCTCAGGGAGCTCACTCATCTTGCTTGACTGTGTAGACAAACAATACTGAGAATGGGAGTAGAGCTACAGGGGAAGAGTATTCATTCCCTAGTGAATATCCAACCTTCCCGTTTTTCTGACACATACCAAGTGAAATTGAGAAAATCTCAAAAGGCATTTAAAAAAATGAGAATAGTTTCACCAAAAGTAATGAAAGCTCTGTAATGTCAACATTTTACCATTAATCAGAGGGCATCCTTAAAAAACTAAACTAAACTGAATTATATCAAATGTGAACTGTATATGTATAAATAGTGCTGTATCAGTGTTAAATTCCCTGCATTTGATATTTGTATGGTGATGTGTAGAGAATATCCTTGACCTCAACAGATACATACTGAAGTATATAGGTATGTGGGAGTAAAGTCTGCCTCTCACTCTCAAATAATTCAGGAAAATAATAATAGTAATAATATATGAGTGAGAGCACACATACAAATTTGGGCAAATGTTAACAACTGTAGCTCTGAAAGAAGGATATGTAGGTGTTTGTTCATTTCTGTATGTTTGAAAGTTTTCAAAATGTGAAGTTAAAAAAAATAAAGTACAGTCAGTGCATTCTGTGGGCCTGGTTCTGCTCAGAATTGTCTTGGAAAGTCCAAAGAACCTGTGGATAGAGGCATGGAGTTAAAGGTCGTGTGCCATTACAAGACTGACAGTTCTCCACCAACACACTCAGCTGATGACACAAAGCCATGACATCTGCCCAAGAGACCATCTCAGGCGAAGGACACCATCCACTCTGGAGCATCTTTGCCTTCTCTCCACTTCCAAGCCTCTCAAAAGATGTTGTTCTGAGCTTGTCTATAGTTTTAATGCTACTTTTTGAAGGTTCTTTAACCCACTAGCAGGGATTAAACTGTCTATCAAGGAGATTGCTGGCTGCCAGTTGTCAAGCTCCTCAACTTCTCTTATCTCATTCCTCAGTTTATTGGCCTTCTCCTTCACCCAGAAAGGCAAGCTGTAGGAAGAAAACAACACCCTGAGTTTGTTTGTCTGATGTAAAATTTACAAACACCCTCAGTGGATAAGGCATTACATTCTCTAAAAGTATGAAAATCCCAATTTAGGAGACCAGTATCAAAATAAAACACCATGTTAGTTGTTCACCATTTGCCCCAAACCCAGATCTTTTTCTGCCCTTCTCTGCCCAGGTAGCTGACACCTGCAGCCTGCATCACCCTGACCCCTCCCTGCCTCTACTCTGAGCTGGGCTTGCTAATGGAAGGCACCAAAAAAGGAGATCAGAGGGGGGAAGAGAGGTTGGGATATTTCTTACCTACCTCTTCTATTCCCATCCTACTTCTGGAGGTACCCCAATGCATTCTTCACTGCCACAGATCTTTTGAACAGACCTTCTCCTACCCACTGCTCTCTGAGCTATGATCCGTCTTCTTGCTTCTCAGGCTGAGTACCAGGAGCTGCCCACTGTTGGGAGCCCCTGGATGCTTCACCCTCCCATGTAGGTGGTCTCAACCTGCCCACACATCTGTTAACAGCCTTCATTAAACTGTCTTCAGAATCCCAGCTGCATGTGCCTTCTGTTTTCTGCTGGGACCTCAGCTAATGCAGACACCCAGCATCCTCCCAGGTCTGTTGAGATTTGAAAGGGCGTATGCTGGGCTGCACAGCACATGTTCCAAGAGGTGTCAGAAAGTGTGACTCCTGGGATGAGTCAGAGCAGGGAGATAAAGAATATTTTTATTTTTTGGCAGCTAGAATTTTCATACTTTAATGTATGCATTTTAGACAAATGCACCATGACTGTAGAAACCTTGATAAGCCTTCTGGGGGTAGGGAAGTCCTTGAAAGAAGGAAGAGGATTACCACATATGCAATAGGTGGGAGTCAAGGTTACCATTTAAAGCTGACAAACCAACAGAAGCCCAAGTAAGAGAAGTTGAAGGATGAAGAGCAATACAGAAAGATAGTGGCATAAAGAACCATGAGACTAAAAACACAAGTATTCCCAAACATCAAAAGAAATAATTTTTAACTTTTGTTGAAGCAATCAAAGAAAACAGTGCAAACCTCATGGAAAATATAACACACATTATAAATGGAACATAAAATATTATGAATTGAAATCAAATCTATCTGTCAAATCAATAAATGCAAATGGCCTTAATTCACCTATTAAAAATTTTCATTTTGGCTCACAAGGGGCAATTCTATGTCAAAAAGACTTAAAGTGATTCAAAAGTCTAAAAATAAAAGAATGAGAAAAGGTATATTAGTCAAATGCAAACAAAACAAGAGGTGTAATTTTAATATCTGGTAAGGTATAATATAGGACAAAAAACATTAAATGGGAAAAAGATATCTTTATAATGCTAATGGCTACAATTAACAATAAAAGTAGAAACATACTAATATTTGGACACTTCAACACACCAATTCTCAGTCCAAGCTAAGTCAAGTGGGCAAAAATGAATAAGGAAATGTAGGGACTAAACAGAGAATCAGTAAGATGTATCTCCTGGGTGTGTTTCTAACTTTGCATCTTGATGAAATAGAATACACTTTCAAATGCTTGTGAAGGGAGTCCCAAAACTGAGCATACATTAGGTCACAAGGAAAACTCTGATAAGCTCCATAAAGCAAAAAAATAAAAAGTGTTTTCCGATTCCAAATCCGTGATACAGAAAAAAGTGAATTACAGAATGAAAACAAAAATTCTTTAGTCAAAAGGAAAATACCAACGCAAACTGCAGACTTCTTTGAAAATAAAGATAATCTACATACCAAAGTGTATAATATAAGCAAAGCAGTGGTCAGCAGTACATTCATAACCTTTAATACAGTTACTAAGAAAAATTAAAGAATTAAAAATGAGTTAGCCATCCCATTTAAAAAATAGGAAAAGAACAAAAGTAAACCAAAATAAGCTGAAGGAAGAAATAATACAGAAGCAAAGACTTAATGCTTTAAAAACAGAGAAAGAAACAGAAAAAATATTTAAAGCTGTTGTCTTATCAAAAACCTCCATACAAACTGCCCGGCCCACCTGCTAGGATTCAAAAGGTCCCTATGTGTTGGGTGTCTATGAGCAACTCCATAGGAGAATATAATAAATAACTGATATTTTCATAAAGATAGGATAATATAAAACATCATGAGAGAACTCACTTGGGAATTTGCGGAAGAGACTCAAGTGGAATAAATGTATCACATTTCTTTTCATAAGACACTCTGAAAAACAGCAAAGGCAACCACAGAATTGGTCTGGCTTCTATAGCAAGGAGATCAATAAATCATTGTATTTAGTAAAATGTCTTATTTTCTGGCTTTAGTCATGTATAGGCTTCAGAACTGTACAGGCCATAATTCTTATTATTTCTTATCATTTTTAGTAAATAAGAATAAATCAAACATGACTAACTTTTAAAATAGTATTTTTAATGTAATACACCAACTATTTTTCTTTAAACCTCATGACCCTCCCTTCTCCTCAATCACTGTGGTCTAAGTCACTAACCAACAATCTGGCTTGGCAAGAAACTGAAAAGTCTTCATATCTGTGGTAGTAATAATAAGAACAAAATTAACAACCACTTTTTTTGTAGTCAGTGTCCTGTATATAATTTCAATAATACACTGTGGGGTAAAAGGCAGAATTTCCAGAATCTCCCACCTAGCCATAGCCATTTACATACCAATGGATGTTTCGGAGTCGCCAATGGATCAAGGGGCAAGAGGTGGAGAGAGAACGGCCATTCTCTCCTCCCCTCCGTACCTGGTATGTAATGTCTGGCATTTGCCAGTCACCGAGGACCTGGCCAGAGTTCCTCCCAGAAGGGGCCGGCGGGGAGGGGCTGGGTGCCGCTGCCAGAGGGGAAAGACAGAGCCGGGCCTGCCTATCAAATTTGAACAAGCTGTGAGCAATAAAAATGGTTTCTCCCAACCTGCCCTTCTTGCCTTACTTCGGCTTCACTGGATTTATAGGGGAATTTGTTCTGGGTGGGGAACCCCTCTTACTCCCGTAGCTACTCACGTACGCACACTCATGTGCGCGCGCACGCACACACGCGCGCACACACACACGAACATACAGTAAGGAACTAGATAAGTACTTCTTTAGGAATTTTCACCAACCATGTCTTCTTGAGATCTACCCCTTGTAAAATATGATTCATATGAAGTAAAGAGAAATAATTCCTTGAAAGTTAAATAAGTAACCCTAGTATTAACATACTTACGTTGAAAAATTCACTGGTGGGAGAGTTGATCCTGCTTTGTGGAAGCCTTTACTCTGTTCTGGGTACATATATGGATTATCTCCTGGAGTTAACTTTGGTATTCCATTCCTGGGATCAATATCTATGAAAGATGTTTAAAAACAAAATCATATAAAGGGCTGAAGACAAGCCACAGATTTGCTGGAAGCATACTGTCATGTCAGGAAATAGGAAAAGTTAGTGTTTTATTATGAGATACATATAGGTTTCTTAATGTTTTGTTTTTAATTGTCTCACCTTGAGGAGGTGAAGATGAAAGTGTGAGCCTGTGTTTGGGATATTTTCTAAAAGGTGGTTATGACCACCTCACCCTGGAAAAGAAGGCTTACGTTTCAATGGGAACCTAATGTGAAAGGAGAATCATAGGTATCTGCAATGAGGAGCAAGAACTCTTCTTGAAATCTTTTCATTCCTGAGCATCTCAGAGTCCTATAAAGCTCTAGAAGTAATTGTAATCGAGGCTATGCCTCTCCAACTGGTCTAGGGAGGAAATCAGCTAATGGGAGTCCTGCTCCTCTTTCTGCTTCAAAGACTGGGGCCGTGTAGCAGTGGGAGGTAGGCTTCCTGGTGAAACGGAGTTAGGGGAAAGTCCTCTGCTGTTGAGCACACACTGCTTACTCAGCCAGGGCTCTGACACCCATCAGTCCCTTTGAATATCCCCCATCAACCAAGTAACTAATCACGTGATCCGGAAAGGAGTCAGCCTGGTACAGGCTGGTCATTTAAACCAGCACCTCTGACACCAGATGCATCTACTAAGAGAACAAACCCCGAGTGTGTGACTAAGCAGTCTAACGATCAGAAGCAGGGAGGCGTGGCTGGAGGCACAACCTTTCTCTGTGCACACACCCAATGAATGGGCCTCTTTTTCTTTTTAATGCCTATTTTTATACCACTCAATTCAACTGTACCCACAAGATGCAAGCCAAAAGGAGAATTAAGGGAGATTTATGATAAGCTATTTCCTACCTACCCAAATGCCAGTGGCTAATTCAGCGAGACTTTCTGCACAATAAGTAGAAGTCCTGACTTAGTGTAATAGTTAATATTTCACTTTTCTCTTTCAAAAGCCTTTTAAATGGCTAAGACTCTTCATCTGAACTTTTTATTAGCTCTTAAGCGCAGTGAAAAACATCAACTACACCCATATACTGAGGGCCTGCTTGGCTGGAAGGGGCTAGGTACTCAAAGCAACGAGAGCGGAGTGACCCTGTCTTTTGAATCCCAAACCAGGGCACCGACAATTGAAGGTCAGGTGTCAGCAAGAACTGGTGAAAAGGGTTTGGATTTTGGAGTCAGTCACGCCTGAGTACAAATCCACTCCTGCAATTTCTAATTCTGTGCCTTTGAGCCATTTATTTAACTTCCTAAGCATTGGAATCCTCATTTATAGGCTGTTTATTTCAAATGTCTACTTTGCAGAGTTATCATGAGTACTACATGAGAATAATCTGGACATACAGGCAGCACTCAAGAAATGGTAGTAGTTGTTATTATTTGAAATCAGGACTAGGCTAATACCACCCCCATCCCAATTTTTTTTAATTTGGAAAATACAATCACTATCTAAACTAAGGTACAAACCTTTCCCTAGGGAATCTTATCTAGTTGGGAAGATAAGACATGTATATAAGGAGATTAAATAATACTACATAAGGTGGTAAATACCATACACTACAGGGGGTGTGTCTAAAATCTTTAGCATACCTAAGAATCACCTAAGGAGCCTGTTTAAAATACAGCTTCCTGGGTCCCAGCCTAAGAAATTCTGTTTCAGGTCTAGAGTGGTTCCCAGAAACAGCATTTTATACAAACTCTCCAGTTGATTATGGTCTGAGGACAACACTTAGAAATAGACTACTGTAAAAGATCTCACAAGATAATGTGAGCAAGTAGAAAAAGAAACAATGGCTTGTGTGTAAATATAGGATATTACTCTTAGGGAAAAATCTCCCAAACACCTGTGAGATAATATGTTTGTTTAAGTTATTAGGTATAATATATGGTCTTGGTATAATTTCTGAATATATAACAAAAACAGTATCAGCCCAAACTGCTGGCCACTGTGTATCAATAGCTGATAGATCCATAGTATATACAATCAGTTTTGGTACTTATTTATGCCTGCAGACAAACCATCCAATCTCCTGAATATAAAGAGATTCAGGAGGTAAAAAAAATAGGATATACACATTAAAATCAAATAACACTATAGCATCTTACTACGCTGATGGACAGTGACTATAATGGGGTATCTGATGGGGACTTGATAATGGGGGCAATCTAGTATCCATAATGTTGCTCATGTAATTATATATTAATGATACCAAAACAAAAAATAAAATAACACTGTGAAGGAGCAAACTGTTCACCAGGTAAGATACTCTGCCCCACATTTCTCCACCGCAATGCAGGTAGTTAGAGCCATGTTCTAACCAATATGTTTTTGAGCAGAGATGATGTGTGGCACTTCCAAAAAGAAGCATTTAACAGTTGATGTGTGATCCTTCAATACTTTCTCTTTCTCCCACTATGGCAAATTTAGAAGCCACGTGTTGAGATAGAGAAGTCACAGGTTGAAAGCAAAAGGAATCCTTGAGACACTGCTTGGAAGGGAGCTGCCCTGGAAAGCTGCTAGATGTACTGTGGACTTTGCAAGAGAAAGATGTAAACTTTAATGGTTAAGTTGCTGAGATTTCATGCATTGTTGTTACTACAGCAGAATCCATCCTGTTCTGACTAATAAAATACACTATACCAAAGAAAGAGCTATGCAAGAAACAAATTATGTTTTCAGATATATTTCCCTACAACATGGTTGACAACATTTTATTCTTTCTTCTATGACAACAAATGAGGCCTTTAAGGAACTCCACCAACGGCCTGATCATAGCTGCTGGGTTAGAGTCAACCATTAATTAACTGCACTTTGGGCATTTTTTTACAATAGTAAATATGTTCAATTCCAGTTCAAAACAGAAGCTGGCTCACAGTCCCTGATACTGCCTCTCCATCTTGTCCAAGAAATAATGAGGGAGAAGAGAATTGCACAAAGGAAAAAGTGTCCAGTGTCAAGCTTAACAGCATCAAGTGCTGCAATAAGATCAAGGGAGAAAAGAAAGGGGAAAAGGACCATTGCATTTGATGTCTAAAGAAGTCATTGCACAATATCACCTAAGAAGAAATCACACTAGAACAAATCAGGCCTATAGTTACAACTGCCAACTTACAAGAAATACACAGGACAGAGGAACCTGCTAAATGACACCAAGGGATGTAATCAGTAAATTCTGACTATGACCTAGTTTCCTCACCAAATAACCTATTTTCCTCAAATGACCTAGTTTCCTCACCAAATAAATTACAAGAAAGAAAAGGGAAAAGACCTATATACTAAAAGAGACTTAAGAGACATTTTAACTAATTGCCAAGTATGGACCTTATCTGGGTCCTGATTCAAACAAACTATAAATATTTTCAGATTTTGGCATTTGTGATAAAATCTCAAATGGGATACTTGAGCATTGACTGAATTGGTGATATTAAGGAGTTACTGGTGTTTTAGTATATGAGAATGGTACCATGGTCCCATTAAAAAATAACAATCCCCTTGCAGGATACAAAATTCACACATAGATCTCTGTAGCTTTCCTATACACTAACAATGAACTAATAGAAAGAGAAATCAGGAAAACAATTCCATTCACAATAGCATCAAAAAGAATAAAATACCTAGGAATAAACCTAACCAAGGAAGTGAAAGACCTATACCCTGAAAACTA